AAGTGTAAGAAAGAGGAAAAGAAGGAACACCGAAAAAGAATGACTTCCAACTTTCTTTGGTACAGATATAAGTAAAAATATATCAAACTCTTACTGTAAGATTAACATTTGTCTACATTATTTCCATAATCCCATATCTAATCATTAAAGCCCCAGATCAACTTTTAATTTCAGTTTCTCACAAAACGTCCAGGAATGGTTCATATCGCTTTAATCACTATATGTTAAGGAAGCTACAACTGATTTAGTTAATTGCACCAACTCTAAATAAAACAGGAATGGAAAATATTAAGTTCTAGTCTAGACTCATGGTTCTCAACTTTGGCAGCTTTAAGGTGCATGGACTTCAATTCCCAGAATTCCCCAGGCAGCATGAAGTTCACCCATCTTAAACTTGCCAAGACTGAGAAACGCTGATCTACAGTTAGGGAATTTTCCATTCCTCTTTTACTGGTTCTTACTTATTTATGAGCAATGATAATACAAAATCCTCACTCCAGTCCACCCCAGAGAAATCATAATGCAAAATCCTCACTCTCACCCCACCCCAGAGCAATAAAAATGCAAAATCCGCACTCCCACCCCATCTGGAGTAACCACAATTCCCTCGCTAACATGCTTTCCACATTCTCCAGCATGCAGGGCAACAAAAGAAGACCATGGGATTACCAGTTTAAAAAAAAAGTGCAACCAGACCTTCCAACTTCTCAGGAAGAACAGATCTCATGAAATTAGAAGGGCTGATTGAACTTTTTTTGTAAGTGGTAGTCACATGGGCTTCTTTTGTTGCCCTGCATGTCAGAGAACGGAGCTGGAAATCAGGTTAGTGAGGGAATTGTGGTTGCTGCAGGATTTTGCAGGAGGCTGTCCAGGCCAAAAACAGCTGCGGGGAGTGGGGTACGGGTGCTCCCCGTGCCCCATTTTTGTTAGCAGAGGCATCACGGGCCGCTCCTTTGCTATTTCCAGCCCAGCCCCGCAGGCCAGATCTAAGCACATTGTGGACCAAATGCAGCCCATGAGCCTTGACACCCTGATATAGCAAGTTCTGAGTAAGGTGGTTTTTTTTTTTCAAAGTCAAGACTATTCGAGTCTGGTAAATTCAAAATTTCCATGTATCTAAGTAACCCTTTGGCTATTGCTCCAAGAACTCCTATTACTACTGTTTATTTATTATTATCTATTAATTTTAAAAACATTGATCATTGCACAGTCAGCCAGATGTTCTGATTGAGTTTGCCATTTTTGTGTACCTATCGCATCCTTACTAAAGACCTGGGATAGGCAGATTTGGATGTTTGATGGTGTTACAGACATCATTAGAGGATAGAAGCTGTTCCAAGTAAAGCTGCCTTCTGCAATTGACTGATGGCAAATTTGTCAATGCCAGTTGTGTTCAAGTGGTGCTCCAGTTGTTTTGCACCCAAGGCACCTATTACTATTGGTACTACCCTTGCTTGCATTTGCCACAGTCATTCTATTTTTACTTGTAGGGCTTAGTATTTTGTTATCTTCTCAAATTCTCTCTCTTCTATTCTGCTGTCTCTAGACAGTCACATCCACTATCCAGACTTTTTTGTCTTTCTTAATGACAATTGTTAAAAATCATTATTATTGTTGTTACTGTTATTATTATTATCCTGTGCTAAGCATATTGGGCTACAAGCAAAGTGCACAATTTTCAGTCAGCAACTACAGCCTCTGCATCCTTCCATTTAAGGCTGATGTTTTTAAAGTTGGTTTTTCAGATCTTCCTGAAATGTTTGGTGCCAGGTTTTTTGTTGTTAATCAGACTTCCTCTTTTTCTCCATCTGGTGGTATCCAATTGAATGCAGTCTTTACTGGACATTGCTCACAAATGGGGAGCATGTGTCTTATCAAAATGCATTCTGTGTTCTATCACTATCTCAGAGAGACTTGGGAATTACCTCCTCAAAATCCCACTGCATTCCTCAACGTGGTGAGGGAGTGAACTACATGGGATGAAATAATATCCCATGTAGGAAAATTGCAGGGACAAGGGTATCAGGCTTGCAACCCAGTGTCATGAAAATTCTTGCAACAAAAACTATAAGTGAAATCCTGACTCAACACATTCAGTTCCAAGTTTAATTTGAATGTGTTTTTCTGAAAGAGTTCTAGAATTTGATTCAAATTCTCTGCTAGCATTATGTGCATACCTTTGTGAGCACTGATAAAAGCATCTGTGAAAATAATGTTTTCCCATTACCTGCATGGCAATTACTACATATAGGTAATATACGTATCTGTGCCACTAGTTTTCCCCAAAATATAGCACAATGGAAAGCAGAGATTCTTCTATGGCTTAACCTGAAGAAGCCACAGAGGGAAAAGGTGTTCTTTGAAGTATAAACTGTAGTCTTTGCCTACTGATTCAATAGGATCCAGTACAGGAGTGGGTTTTGGCAGTCACTACTGCTGGTTTGCTCATGGGCATGCCATGTGCGCTTTGCATGCATGTGTGCACTCAATGTGCGCTGTGTGCGCATGCGCAGTACAATAAAAATTGTTCTGTGCATGCAAAAAACAAGATGGCAGGGCCTATGGCACCACCTGGAAAACCAGTTCGGGGGTTTGACAGGCCTGGGATGCTGCCGGTTCAAGCGACCTAGGCCACCCAACCACTACCGGTTCGGCCGAACCGGTCCGAACTGGTAGGAACCCACCACTGATCCAATAGGATTAAAACGTTTAAACATAGGGTTTGATCTGTCAAAGCAGTTTGAAAAGACAGACATTTGAACTGTATCCAGGCATGGACATTTTGATAGCATTAAGACAACTTGCTATTTAAAGAGGAATGCAAATAATATCAAAGGATCAGTGTTTTCTGTATAACTTGTCATATATTCCATTCTGTAACATTCAGAGTCTGCAATACACCACATAGTTTGATTCAAACTACAATACAATATTTACTTAGTACTACAGCATTAAGATATTACAAATACGATACGTAAAAATTTGTTATGGATCATATACCTAAGGATAAGATATATGCAGTATTTATAGAAGCAAAGGAAAATTAAAAGAAATTATAGATTCTTAGTCTGGATTCATTATATTTTTCAACAGCTTAATTTCTGAATATTCAATTCATTATATAAAATGTTGCACCTTGTAAATAAAGAAAAATACATGCTCTGAACCATCAGATCACCACACCTGTATCTCAAGCATAGCTTGCAATTTCTTTTCTTGCTTTTCTCTCAGTTTGCATTCTTCTTCAGCTCTTTTTCTTATTTCATCTTCTGCTTTTCTTTTTGTTAATTCCTCTTCCAATTTCCTTTCCTCTTCTCTTTTATGATCCTTATTTTCCAATAGAGTCCTCTCTTCCTCTGCTTTTCTTTTCAGCTCTTCTTTTTCTAGCCTTTAAAACACCACAATATATTGTTGGGAGTACATTTATGTTCTTTTCTATTAAATATTTATATCATTAAAAACTGGCTCCAAATAACAAGATAATAGAATTTGAAGAGGATAAAGAGAAGTGTTGCATATTTCTAATTAAATAGGTGATGCATATACTCTTAACTTGCACATGTCAGCCCCATAACTAAGAGCTTATATTTATTATAGTTATTATACCTTATAGTATAGTTATTATACCTTTCAAGATTTTGCCTTTCTTGCATTTCCTTTTCTTGTTCTTTCTGAAGTCGAGCCTGACGTCTCTTCTCCGCTAAAATTCTAGTTGCTTCTTCAGCATCAGTAGTCCCTGCTACATGTTTCCCTAAAAATGTTTTTGAATTGAATATTAGTCTGTAGACAGGAAACAAGTTATGTGCAGTAGAAAGCCACACAATATTACTCTGATGGCTGAATTTTATAGTCAATGAAACTACAGAAATATGAGTTATAATATTTAAAAATACGTATTCTTGATTTTAATTAATGTTAATCCCTTCGATGCTATCTTCATAGTTTACCTTCCTTAACAGGATTCTGTGAATAATTTCTAAGGGATACAATACAAAATCATTGTTGATGATAAAGTTTAAATTAACACCCCCTCCCCCAAATATTAGTGACAGAACTAATCATGTAAAATAATAGTCAGCTGAACTAACGTATAACAATGAATTGTTTTAGAAGCAAAAGTAAAAGGGGGCGGAGCTGATATTGCGGCGACATGATGCATCTCCATGGGGCTCCGTGGAATCGTGCCAAATTTGACTTGCTAGGAGGTTCCAAGGGACCCAAATCATCCTGGAGGAGTGATGAAGACAGAGAGGACACTCGTCGATCACAAGGAGACTGCAAACTCCTTGTTTGATTTGGAGGAAGCTCTCAATCCAGCAGGAAGAAAAAGATTGCCATTGCATGCCTTACCAGAGCTGTGACAGCCTAACAAGCAAGCATAGAATCTGAGGAACAGTGTGATCTATCTGAATGAGATTTTTCCAACTCCTGTTGTGGAACTTGCCTTTTAAAGTAACCCCGAAGTAAAGTGGGACTCAAAGAAGAGGAGGTGGAAATGTTTGTTTTCCACCCAAGAATAGCGGCGAGAAAACCTGACATAACTAAAAATGAACAATGGATGCAGATAATAGAAGAGAAATCAGAACAAACAGAAGAGTAATTACGTTAGAGATGGATAAAGCTGAATACTTTTTGAGGTTCCAGAACATTTAGGACGAAAAAGGGGAAAATGTTGCAGAGATAATGACAGAATTGTTGGTGATGCCTCAAAGTTCAACCATACAGGCTCATAAATCATCAGAAGAAAAATTCAAAAAGGAAGGAAAAATAAAATAGTTCCTTGTTGTTTTCCAGCTTCTATTTATTTTATCTGTTTATATACTTGCTGGGATGTACAAATCAAGAGATACTTGCTGGGATGTATGAAATATTTAGAGTATATACAAGATACGCGTCAAGAAATAAACTTCCTGGAACTTCTTTCGAAATAAACATATGAGATTTACTAAGAAGGCATTAAGAACAGAGATACTTCAAAGAGCAAAATATAACCTATTGAACTACAAAGAAAAAGAAATAATAGTTCTGAAACAGATCCCCGAAAAAATAAAATACACGAGAAAACAATACCAATTTCTGACAAGACAATTAATTAAGCATGAAGTAGATTTTACAGGGCTGCTACCTGAGGGAACACTAGTGACATGGATGAATCAAAGGCATAGATTGGATACTATAGAGAAAGCAGAGCAATTTTATGATGAGCAATTTGGATCAGTGATGTGCAGTCAGGTGAGGCTGTGCTTCACCTTTCATCATGAAAAAAAAATGTAAAAGGAAAAAATAAATTAAATGCTTGTATTTATCTACTGATCTGTACCATAAAGTTATTTTCCA